AAGACTAATTTATGATATCTAGAGATGTTGTGTTTCATGAAGACGTATTCCCATTTGCCAACACTAACCCTATTCCATCTTCATCTCCATGGTTGTTTTATGATGATAACTCCTACTCTACCATATCCTCTTTTTTCTATGATACCTGCTCCTAAGGCTCCTCAGCAACTTACTGTTACTGATTCTAATACTAATTCAACAACCATTGACAATATTCCAATAGAGTCCTCTCTTCTAGAGTATCCTGATTCAGTTCCAACATTACCTATCTAACGAACTACTCGTCAGACTTGGCCACCAATCTGGACAGTAGATTATGAGTGTCCTACAATATCATATTCTCCAGGTACTTGGTATCCTACCTCTAATTATGTGAACTATGATCTTCTCTCTCCTATTCACAGAGTTTGTATTAGTCACATTTCGGTCGACCGAGAACCCACTTATTACTCATATGCAATCAAACATTCCCATTAGTGCCAAGCAATGGCTGATGAACTTGTTGTTGTTGATCAGAATCACACATGGGATTTGGTGCCTCATCCTACTCATAGAAAACCCATTGGCTGTGAATGTCTACAAAATCAAGCACCGTGTCAATGGGTCAATTAAACGCTACAAAGCCTGCTTGGTAGCTAAGGGCTTCACTTAACGTGGGGGGTTTGATTATTAGGAGACTTTTTCCCTTGTAGCCAAACATGTCATTGTCTGTGCCTTCCTTACAGTTGCTTCAGTTCGCGATTGGCCTCTACATCAAATGGACGTTCATAATGTTTTTCTTCATGAGGACCTTCATGAAGAAATCTATATGAACCTTCCTCTAGGAATCCGTAGACATGGGGAGCACATAGTATGCCATTTATGAAAATCCCTCTATGGTCCAAAGCAAGCATCTCGACAATGGAATGAGAAATTCACAGCAGCTCTCACTGGCATAGGATTTGTTCAGTCCAAACATTACTATGCATTGTTTACTTGGCATAGAGGTAAAACATTCATTGCTCTAATTATCTATGTCAATGACATTGTCATTTCAAGAAATGATGAAGCATGTATCAAATCCTTAAAAGAACATCTCAACAGACAATTCCGGTTAAAGGATCTGGAAGAGCCAAAATATTTCCTAGGAATCAAAATTGCAAGATCTCCAGTTGGAATATCTCTTAGTCAACGGAAATACGTCTTAGAACTCAAATCTGATTATAGGCTATCAGGATGCAAGCCAATTGTCATTCTAGTAGAACAAAACACCAAGTTAACCACGTAGGAATATGACAGTGGAGCATCATCCTCAGAAGAAGATCCACCTTTGGAAGATCCTACAAACTACCAAAGACTTGTTGGCCAACTAATTTATCTGACAATGACTCAACCAGACATTAGCTATGCAATTCACATTCTTAGTCAGTTCATGCACGGACCTAAATAATCTCACATGGATGCAATAATAAAGGTATATTAAAATACTTGAAAGGGTGTCCTGGTCTGGGACTTCTCCTTCCTCGTAACAAAGGTTTAGATATCATAGCATATTGTGATTCAGACTGAGCCACATGTCCCATGGCAAAGAAATCACTCACTGGGTTCTATATAAGGGGGAGCACAAGCCGAGTACAAAGCCACGGCAAAGACTACATGTGAGATCATTTGGATTCTGGGGTTGCTGGAAGATCTTGAAGTACAAGTAAGGGAACTTGTTCTTTGATGCTGTGATAACAAAACTACAAATGACATAATGGCAAATCCAGTATTCCATGAAAAAACGAAACATATAGAAATTAATTGCCACTTTGTGAGGAGCAAAATACAAGAAGGGGTAATTAAGACTTTACATATTTGTACTTTAGAACAACTAGTGGATATTTTTACAAAGCCATTATGCAGCAAACAACATTCATATCTACTTAGCAAGCTTGGAGTTTTTGATATGTACAAACCACAAGCTTAAGGAAGAGTGACAAATTATAAAAGGGAATGCTACAAATTATTTGTGTATTTATGTGTAATTAAGTTTCCAATCAATCACCCTAATTGACTAAATGATTTACAGGGATCCTTATTCATATTTTACATTTACAATTTGTATAAATTGCCCAATGTATAGGCTTACAAATTAATTTCAATATACGAAAAAGTATTTCTTCATTTTCTCTTCATTTTTCTCTTCTCAGGCATACTTTGGCAGCATTGCTCTACTTCTCTTGCCTTCTCCTCCAAACTCTGACAAAAATCAATCAAACTAGGTATTACAAATTTTCCTTAAAGAAAATTTGTGATACTGGGTGTTTTGTTTCAATGGGAATAAACTAGATTTTTCTTTTGTCAAGATGAGATTTAGAATACTTGATTGTAAGAGCTTGAGGTTTGGGTATCATAAATTTCCTCAATGGTAATTTGTGATACTAAGTGGTTTGTTTTTAATGGGAGTGAAACAAAAATTTTCTCTATCAAGATGGATTTTAAAGTGATTACTGGATTGTAAGAGTTTTAAGGTTTTGATTCCGTAAGCAAATTAATCAATAATTATATGATAATGGTATTGATTGAATTGGTCTTATACTCTATTGTTAATTCTGATTGATTTAAATTTATTTTAATTGCAGATATAAAGCTCTGAAGTAAAAATATAGAAGAAGAAAAAGAAGAATTTTATTTTATTACAATTATATCCCCACTTAAACTTGAAGATGGTGATAAAGATAAAAACAGTGGGGGTTAAAAATGACTTCCCTTTAAAATTCCAAAACATAAGTATTTGTCATGTAGACCTAGACAACGGGTGGGTACGGGCCGGGTAGCTGCGAGTAACAGGTAAAACGAGTATGGGTTCATCGATAAATTTTTTTCACGGGTAGAAAAATGTATGACTCGTATCCTCCCATACGAATATGGGTCGACCCATGGGTCACCCGTTTCCCACATATTTTCACATTTTCTTTTTTTTTTTTTTTTTTAATAAAAGTAACCCATCTCCATCACCCTCTCTGCACGAGACCTTCCTCTTCCCAACAAATTTCCATCTTCTCTTTCCTCTTCCCAATTAAAATTTCCATCTTCTCTTTCTTCTTCCCAATTAAAATTTCCAACAACTATAAAATCAAATACTCACACCAAGTGTTAAAGCCTTTGCTATCTCCTTATTTGCAATAGCTTTCTTCCTTGCTTGTTGGAGCTTTTCTATCTCCTTATTCTAAGTTATGTTCTTCCTTTCACATTGTATTGAGTAATGCAAGCATCGAATCTGCTTTCAAAGTTCCACAAAATTATTACAACTCAAATATTGTTATTGAACCTTAACTTAAGTTTTCGAGATCATGGGTACTTCAATACAAGGATAAATGGCGACCGGAGAAATGGCCAAATGAGCGTGAGAGAGATGGTTGCATGAGAGTCTGAGAGAGATGGCGTGAAATTAGGAGAGATTGAGAGAAATGGTGTGAATTAGGAGAGATTGAGAGAAATGGTGTCGGTCTGTGACTATGAGAGAGATGGCAAAAATGGAATTAGGTTCGGGTGTTTAGTTAATTGAATTTAGGGTTTTAATTTTTTAATAATTTTTTAAAATAAAATGAGGGTACCCGCGGGCATTGCCTGGCCCATCCGTATTTTTTACGGGCGGGCCGGGTACAGGTAACTTCTATATAGGTAAATTTTAGAGATATCTGTACCTACTCGTTTGATACAGGTACCCGTTGACCCCCGGGTAAAGGTACCTTTTTGCCAGGTCTATTGTCACATCCAGTCCAAACCCATAGTCTATTGAGCCAATTCCATGTTTTGAGGCTTAGACTAACATCCAGAGGAATCTTTCCAAAAGCTTCCAAAAGACTCATTCACCAAAGACATCTATCAGATAAGTTCTCATGTGTAATAAAGATAAGCACAGATAAAGTTTATATCACTTTAGGCTTAATCTTGACTATTCATTCTTATTGGATTTGTATAGATGTAGACCGTCGAATCTTATAAACATGTATAAATAGCTAGCTAGTTCATTTGATTTATTTAATCCAAGCGTTACATTCTTTTGAAAGCAATAGTAATAAAAGAAAGTTTTCTCTCCATCTCTAGTTTTTTCTGTTTTTTATAATGCTTTTATAGGACAATATTATTGTATAAAAGAAGAAATATATGAATATCAATGCTTGTTAATAGTTTCATTACAGTATTAGTTCATAGTTTATAAATTCTTATTCGTAAATAATTCTTGTTTCATAAGTTCAAATTGAAAAAGACTTATGCATAAGATCATAGAACCTATTTTGGTCCTTTAAAAAAAAAATATTTTTAGAAAATGTTTCCGCAGTTGGCTGTTATCAAATTATTGTTATTTTAATTCTCAAGAATAAAAGATGACTAAGATCATTATAATATATGATATTGGGTAAATTGTAATTTTATTTTGTTACTGAATTGTAATACTAATTGGAAGATTATAATATATGATCTTGGGTAAAATAAATCTATTCAATTTATTGTTGTTTATTTTCACTTAACCACGTGGTAAATAGAACTTCTAGTTTTTAAAACTTTAAATTTATTATAACTATTTTTATGTATAAATTTTAAAATTTATTAGCCTCAATAAATTTAAATGAACAAATTAATTAGAATAGCTAAGACCATGGCAAAAATTTAAAACAAATATAGGTTTACAGGTTAAAATAAAATAATAATTTATTTCGTTTATCCTTATAAGAGCTCTTAGTATGAATACATCTACTGTTATTGAAATACTCTTTTATAAAGGGGTTTTGATACTTTTTACATTGACTTCTTGATACTTTAAAAGGATTTTTGATATTTTCAATAAGATTTTGATAATCTAAATGATATATAATACTTTTAAATAACATCAAGAGCATTTCTCTCATCTTCATTCCATTTCCCTCAAATTCAACATTCAAATGGGCCTGTTAGTAAAAGCTTTTATGGGCCAAACGGAATATTAGGCCCAGCCCAAATAAAACTCCGTGGGCAACAAAGCGTGAAATCCAGTTCATATGAAAACATTATTGACAGCTTCTCTCTTGCAAATGGAGGACGAAGAGTCATCAAAAGTCAACTCTACACAACCCCCATCTGTAACTCTCTCTTCTTTTGGTTCTTAATTACTTGTGTTTTTGTGTTAAATGATAAAAAAAAAAAAAAAAGGGGGAAGTAAAATAACTGTTAATGATGCCGTTTTGACCCATCTATGACTGTGTTTTGCTAAAGTTCAAATCATTGAAGCTTGATTCAATTTCTTGTTGGCTTTATTTTATATTTTATTGAGTAATTGAATGATTGACAAGCAAGCTTGTGTTATATTTTTAATATCTAGTATACTGGTGTTTTTCTTTTCCTTTTTCTTTTTTAATGAAATTGATCCAGTGCTGATTTCAGAATTGTGTATGAAACAGTATTTAGAGGTTATATGCAAAAGTTCTGGTAAAATAAGCCGTTATGCCGCGGGTACGAAGGCGGGTTTTGCAGTTAATTTGATAAATAGGAAGTTGGACATTGGAAATCCTCTTGCTTTGCATATTGAAGCAGTTAAAGAAGGGGAAGAACCAATCAATTTTGGCCCCAATGCAGTTCTTGTGGATTATGGAAAGGATTGGAAGTTGCAAACAGTTACCGAAGTAGATTATGCTGGTATATTTGAGTTTTTTTCGGTTTGAATCGTATTATATATTTTTGGATTGTGTACATTGTATGATTAGTTTGAGTGTTGCTTACATTGTTTTTAATTGGTTTCTTGCTTGAAGAAGGTTTTAGGAAAAGAGAAGAGGATGGACCATTTGCAGCACGGGTGCCTGTTGTAATGGTATGGAATTCTTTTTATTTTTTATTTTCTGCATCTATTTTATTTGATGTTTTATAATTTTTGCAGAAACTCAAACATATATGGTGTTGAACCTTTTGTTATATATTTGAAAATAGGTTTTGTCTGACTCTTGAGTGATTAGATCATGGACTATGTAATCACTTTGAAGCCTAATGTGAGATTAATTTTGAATATATGTATCACAGTAACCTTCCGTACGCAAGAAGTGTGCAAAAGTTATTGTTGATACATGATAGATAATCATCAAAAAGCATGTAGACCAGGAGTTTATGAGAAGTTAAGAGTGGTACTGTAATGTTTCTACACAAATTTACTAGTAAAATAAGTCTATTGCATATGTTTTGTTTCAAGGAAATTGCTTGGGATGCCATACATTGAAAGGTTATGGGTGGTAGGATTTCAGATCATTAACAACTATGCATATAAAATACATCAAAGTTTGAAAACCATTTTAGTATTAGAGGCTGCTTAACTCATGCTTATTAAAGCTTATTTTTGTTTCATGCTTGAGCACATTATTAGTTTCTTTAGACTTCATGAATCTATGATTAATTAATGGATTCCAGATGATATAGATAAACTTCTTCTATGAAAATTCTATGATAGAAAGGTTACATATTTGGTCAGGCTATTATTGCCAACCAAAATTAAATAATGATTGAGCATCAAAGCTATCAATGTGGCAATTCTTCTTGGTTTTTCCTTTTTCCTTAGTGCCATAAAAAATACTGGTCATATCTCTTAATAGTGTGTGTTGAGTAGTACTTCCAAGACGAGCTTAATCATTGCAGACCTAGGGCCTGTAAATTTCATTTTTTATTTTACTTGGAAAAAAATTAATTTTGAGTACCAATAGGATAAAAAGAATTAAGATATAGCTACAACCTGTCTAGGTTAAAGAACATTTGAAGACCAAATTTGCTTAGGTAAGCATCGAAGTTTATAAATTAGGGAAGGTCTATTAGATGATGATTAATTGATTGCTTCTTGTTGACGTTTTCCCTTGGCCAATAGCTGAGCTAAACCACAGGAAACTGGTAGCACAAACTGAATATTGCAATTTGATTTCATAATTAAACTAAACTATGAAAAAAAATGCAAAACGAAAACAACATAGGACATAAAATTTAAAAGGTCAGAAATAAAGTTGCAATAAGCTTGAAATGAAAAGCAAGTGGGTTACAACCAGATCAGTGATGAAAATATTGAAATTGTTCAGAATCCTACAAATGTCACCAAGGTTGCTACAACAACCAAGTTTATTGTTTACATTTGAACAATATTTGGTCACTTGAAACACCCTAAGGGATATGACATATTTGGAAGGTAATGGTGATGACATATTAACCTTTGTTCATATAGTATGTTCAATTTTGGAAATTGATTTTAGATAGTATATCCTACCAAGGCAAAAATTTGTTGGTATAACTTATTAGTCATCCTATGCTTGTGCTGCACCTTTTTGTTGGTTGGAACGAAAATGTTATATTAATAATTAGAGTTAAAAGCTCACATGGTGGAAATCGTCTGTACATAAAAAGTACCTCTGTCTCAGATGGCCGCATTTGTAGTGACCATTCTTTGATTGCCATTGTGAATTTTTTATATAGATAAAATTTAGAACAAATGCTATTATGCTAGTTTTAGGAAAGCCTTTGCACCTTGAAGGCTTAAATCTAGTATTGCATAAAGCCTGGGGCTTTTTTCTATTTCTTTTTATTTTTAGTATTCTTTGTTGTCACTTAGCTGGGGATATTAATTCTATCCAGTGTGCTTAGCTAAATTTTATCTTCTTTTAATTTTTTGCTTTTACAGAGTTCTGACCGGACACATCCTTATAAGACAGTTTCAAAACCTGTTATCAGTCTGATGTACATAGGAAAGATATTGTTAGCGTTCGTTTTGATGTTTGTACTTGGTGCAATTTTCACAATTGCACTTGAGAATCTTCCCAGATTGATATTGTTTCTTAACTCCTCCATGTAATACTCATTGCTCTTTGCAATTTTCTAAAAGAATATATTCGTTGTATCATGTCAAACAATTGATTCAAGTATTATTTTTTCATAAATTTTATTTGGAAGGGTCACACGAGATTTTATTTTATTGCTGACTTCACTGACTTGACAAATTTGCCCTTAGTGTCGTTCTTATCTTGTATAAAAATGTACTTGAAATTGAATGGTTTCTTGCCATTTAAGCCAATCGTTTCTTTATTGACATTCATCAACAGTATGTGTGATTCAAAATCAACGAGTGCCATGTAAATTAAGATCCCAACTGATACTAAATTGAGAAGAACCTGATCAATTGACGCTAAATTGAGAAGACCCTGAACAATTACAGCAGTTGAAATAGTCCATTGTAAATGTTTGATATTCCAATTGAGTTGGTAAGAGAGAAGAATGGCACCATTATTGTAATTAAGAGAGAAGAATAGCGCCATTATTGTTAATCGCCAGAGAATTAATGTTAGAAAAAATGTTTAAATACCTAATGTCACATCCGGCCCAATCCTAAGTTCATTCGAGGCCTAATATTCGGTCAAGTTCATACGGGGTCTAATATTTTAGTTAAAGAGGCTTGACCTAGAAGCATCAAAGAAATGTTAAGACAATCATTTTAAAAGCTTCCGGAATATTTTTTACCAAGAAGGCAACAAAATAAGACTAGGATTCTATTGCTCGTACACTTAATCCTAGTCATACATCTAAATGGATATGTATGGATGTAGACCATCGAATCTACTTGTAAAATCCTATATAAAACAAGCTAGTCTTAGCTTTTAATTCATTCAAAGCATTGTATTCAATTGAGAATAGTTTTTTTCTCTCCTCTATTATTCATGTTCTTACTTCTTAGCTTACTTAGTGTCCGATCTCGTGTTTGTGCACTAATACCACACAATCCAAAATCTCGTGTTCATGTTTGTGCACTAAAGCTACATCATGAGTATGACACTATTTAAGGGCACGTAACCAGCGTAACAAGCTTAACCCTTTATAAGTATAATGAATAGAAGAAAAATGCAGATATGAATAAGATACCAAAACATAACAAAAAAAATATATATATAGTGCATAAAACTCTGCCAAGCGTTGTGTTGAAGATCCTTTAATATATAAGAAGCTGCAACATCCCACCAACGTAGCACAGCTACAGTAAGCAAATTAACCCTTCATCGGCCAATGCATTTGGTAGATTAATTACGAAACAGAGAGTATTTAAAATATCTTCAGCATAATGCTTGGGAGAATTTTCTGATTATTATTTTTGTTATGTTTTTGCATCTTATACATTGATGCCTGTTTCTCTGTAACCAAAGAATGCACATAGGCAAATGCTTACCGAGTAGGGCTCTAAGAACCTCAGGCTCAGAGAAGGCAAAATTGAGAGACACAAATACAGAGGAAATCAATCTATCATACATGTTGAATTTGCAAATTATTTACACTATTTCTGCGAGCCCCAACTAAACATTGACAGTGACAGATTCTATACAAACTTGAGACCGAATTCAAGTCACTAGCCAGCCACAACAATATTACACATATTATGCATTCCCGAGGTGGGAATTTCAAGCTTACAACAAAGAGGATCTTCTGTAAAACTAACCTACTATCCCAGCTTGCCGGGATGATGGCAATTTTAACACAGACTAAGCCAAAGAATTTCCAGAACCAGAACTACGATAAATTTCATCAACATGAGCAGCAGGAACGTAGACTGCATCTAGCAGTGAGCTGTGAGTGCGGCCATAGAATACATAAACCAATACTCCGATGATAAGCCACACTGAAACACGGGCCCAGGTGGCGGCGCTGAAAGTTGACAAATTATTAAATGAGAATAACATTGATATTATAACTTAAAGGACGGAGTAATAACCAAGGCCTAAATCACAAGGATCATTTAAACCCACTTTATAGATTCTTTTGACAAAATTGGCTGATTGATTGTATACTCACCCAAGATTAATCAGTAAGTAGACATTGATAAGAATACAGGCAATGGGCAAGAGTGGAACAAATGGGCATAAGAAACCTGAAAAGAGAACAACAATCCATTTGTAAATTCTCTAACCAAATTGAAACAATATAAGCAGGCGTCGTTAAAAGGGAAAGGAGAAATGAATAAATATGACTAGCTGCATTGCAAAAAAGCTTTAAAAGCAAGCAGAGAGTCCTGCTTATACACTCAGTACGCAAACACAAACGTATGTATATTATGTGTATACAGAACACCTCAGTTGCAAGGGATGACGCCCACGTAATGATCTCACATCTTCAAATGCAAACATGTGTTCAAGTGCCAGACAAACTTAGTCCTATTTTGTTGAAAAATCATGGAACACTTGGACAGTTATCAGTTCAGAAGATCCGATCATTCTAAAACAGTCAACATGAAATATTTCATGAATATTCTAAGGTTAATACCAGATAACTTGTGTTTTCAAACTGTAGATAGAACACGGTTGATGGTTGTGTGCAGCATACATCTCACTTAGTAACTGATGCAGAAACCTCACACAATTTTAGGTCTCCATGAAACATCAATGAAACTACTGGGGGAACAAAGCTAGTTTCTCCTCCGTCAGGGAGTCGAGCTAGACTAAGCATATCAAGTGTGTAACTTTAAACATATGGGTTAATAACATACCTCCAGTGTGCCCAAAGCTATGTCTTGCCTCATCTTGATCTATAGAGGTTAGCACAACCAGACCACACAGAAGAAGAGCCCCACCAACTCCACACAACGAGAACCGAAGGATCCTGGAAGAGGAACTAATAATGTAAAAGAATAAAAAAACAACAATCAAGCCATAAACTCAAACTGCCAAGAAGGTCAGGTTTATGTAGGGCAGAAGAAGATTAAAAAGCAAAATGAATTGCCTTTCAGAAATGGTAGCACATAACACATGTTCGCTAAACTTTCTTAATGTCTGCAGTATACACACCTAGGAAGGCTCAAATCTGAAGCTGAGTACGTGAGAAGAAACACCCCTACACAAGTGAACATTATAGTCCAGCCGGCAATTTTTCTCCGGTTCTTTTCACTGAAAACATCTGTAACAATCACAAAATAAAACAGAATAGAAAACTTCAGCACAACCCAGCTGATACAAGACAGGGCCAAAAACAATAAATGTTCGAAAGTATTCTAGTATAAAATATTTCAAAGTCTCACGCTCAATTCAACCTCCATTGATTTTAATATGGTACCTGTAAAAATAAATCTTAGCTAAACACAAAAAAGAAAATAACTGACATCTGTAAAATCTTTTTGTCTTATTCTTCAATAAGCACTTCAACAATATCATAATGTTCAACATTTTGCATTTTGTTTCCTTTTCTCAGATTTTCCTTGTTAGTTTTAATGAAATAGAAGACTTTTATTTGGACTGATCTTCTTGCTATTAGATAACAATCTTAATTTTAGTTATGTTGATTTGATTTCATCAATAGTTGTCCAATGAATCTATTTAAGACTGACCCCTCAAATTTAGACCAAAATCATAGTCGTTGACAACAGTTTTATATGAATGTCTCCGTATGATTAACCAATGCCTATAGGCACACCAATCACATCAGCTATGATCAGCCAACAATGCATTAAAGCTGATTATTTAAATTAGCATAAATTGCTTATTCAAAAGCTCCATAGTACTATAGAAGCAAGAATATACAAGGGGCATACAATACCTTGAACTTGCTTAATAATAGGATAAGCAACTGGTGCAACCTTTTTGCTGAGTAAAGGTTGAATATCGCTGGAAGTGCCAATGTTAACATCAAGGTTTTTCTCATTAATAGATACAGAACTCTGATTATATAGCAAAGACACAGAATCGATTGATTCCTGGAGTGATGATGGAAGTGGCACCTCCTCTGGTGGGACATATCTGAGAATCAATACAGAAATTGCCACCATAGTAAAGGCGAGAAGTGTACCCACACTGACCTGCAGAAGGAAGGTAAATGTCGAGAACTCAGAATTGCTATTAGTTCAAAAGTCAGCCATGTAGACCTGATTGGCCATTTTATTCAAGAACTTGCTCAGGAACTCAAAAATCCAGATAGTATAGCTTATTTATTTACTAGTAGAATACCCTAGATTGTATTTCATAAGAAAATTAACCTAATTATGTTCATCTTTTATATAAAAAAGGATTTTTAGTAGGTGAGAAAAAAAAAAAAAAAAAGGTGAAACGAGGGCCATTCACTGGGAATCTATCAAAAACTAGACAACAATACTGATACTTAAACAAACATGAATAATTGTGCCTCTGGATTCCCAATAATGGTATTAAAGATCAAATGGACTGAGGCTACCATTTCAAAGATATATCAGTTTCTGGCCACTTTGAACTTTCGAATAGAAAATTTACCGAGTACTCTCGTACTCACATTTGGATTACACAATCAACTTGGAGCATCAAACAGTACTGTTAAGAATTGATATCAACAATAGTCCACTTACCATTCCAGCCAACTGAGAAACCTCCATACAGAATGCCAAAGTTGAAGCAACAATACCAGTCACAATAGTACTCTTGACTGGAACCAGAGTGTGTTTATTAACATCTGAAAAGAATGATGGCAGCAACCCATCTCTTGCCATTGCCATCAGAATTCGTGGCTGTGAAAGACAAAGAAGAAGAAAGATGAAGGACATCCACAATTAATTACATATAAATTAAAGAATTCTATCTCCAGTAAAAGCAACAGAGAATCTGAGATCAGAAACAAGCAGAATGAAGCTCACTTAATAGTTGCATCAAAATTAATATAGGTTACTAAAGAACGATATGGAAGTAAATTCGATAATAAATTTCTTGGGTTATTTTCTTTTACAGAAAAATTTAAGCATCAGCAAACTGCAAAGTAGCTGTCTGGTAAATCTTAGCCAGTTTTATCATGTGGTTCAATTTGCAAGAATTGTGGTGGAAATATATAGATAAGAGCAAAGCGTGCATTAAAATTTCAAATGTGGATAAAGCAAAGGACCTAACGGTGCATCCTCAGCTACTACTAAATGTTCTAAACAATCAGGGCTGTCAAAAATGAACAATAAGCATAACATCTTCCACTGAAAGCTCCGTTAGCTGGCAAGCAAATATAAAATTTAGCTAGACAAGAAGAAGATTCTAGGCATTCCTATTTTTACCTGAGGAAGAATTGAACCCATTAATGTTGAGCAGAGTGCAGTAACAGCTCCAATTGTTATTATGTACCTGGAAGTCCCCCAACCCCCAAAATAAAATACAGGAGAAAAGAATAATTCAATAAATTGAAATAAGAAATTATTAACCAATGTATCACAATTTTTTAACCAAAATTATTACTCACGCTGCCCATTGCATCCCGTGGTTTGCAAATGCAGAGGAGATGGGAGTGTCAGGATCCATTGCATAATAAGGTACCAGACCAACAATGACACTGGAGACCAGCATATACAATGCACAACAAATAGACAAAGCAGCTCCAATGCCCAATGGCAAATCTCGTTGAGGATTCTTTACCTGACAGAATAATTAAAAGAAAAAAATGAACATCTGAATCCATCAAGGCAGTCCTATAAAAATGAATGCAGACTGCAATAAGTAAAAGAGATTAATGGTGGGGCAGGGAAAAGAACAACATATATACCTCCTCAGCAGTACTGGCGACTGAATCAAAACCAATGTAGGCAAAGAAGACAGTTGCAGACCCAGCAAGCATCCCATTGACTCCAAAGGGAAAATATCTATATCAAAAGTAAAGATTAAATAAATAAATCAATCTAGAAAGTCATATTTTCAAAATTGATGCATAAGATGAGATTGCCTATTACCCAGTGGGAAGTTCATATCCCACCCATCCAGTCTTGAATCCCAGATAACTACCAGCTACTATGACAAAGAGCATGGCACATACATTGGCAGTAGTGACAATTCCTTGTGCAACTGTGCTCTGCAATAGTGTTTAATTAAGGAAATGAACCATACCAAACAATAATAATAGACCCAAACAAAGAAATAAAAAGTAGAACTGGAAAGGAACAAGAACGCACCTCCTTGATTCCCACGCACAAAAGGCCAGTGACAATAAACACTAGAATTGCAGCACAAGGGTCTACAACAATCTCAAGCCCAGGAATATAATGGCGAGCGAGAAAAGCCGGTAGACTATTTCCACCTCCAAAAAGCAATGCCTAGATGCATTTGTAATAACAAAGGTAAGCTAACAAAGGTAAGCTAGTAGAGATCATTAACACAACTCCAACATATAGACACCTGAGCATATAAACTATCCTTTTACATTAGAAGAAACTATGAAATTCATACAACTCACAAGTAAAAACCAGAAAGTAATAATAAAAACTAGAAAAAATTCAACAGACCAGATTTGGAGATATGCCACGAGCAACAGCAGCACCACCAATTGTATACTCAAGAATTAGAGCCCAACCAATCAACCATGCAATACTGCAAAATATGAAATTGGAAATTCGTGAACTTCAGGCACATCAAAATTATTCTAAAGCGGGACAGAAGGCATCTTCTATATCAATCAATATACGGGACCTAAACATGTTCAACAACAATCATGCCTAAAAGATTACAGAAACCCAAAAAATACCGAAAATTGTTTATTAGTCCCATTTCAGAAAGAGTTACAATCACGTAAACCTAAAACTACATCTGCAAAAACAATCATAGATATGACTATTGAATATTAAATGTAACAAGAAAATTACCCTTCCCCAACACATATATACGAATAGTGATAGGCACTCCCGGCAGACGGGCAACGACTTGCAAGCTCTGCATAGCAAAAGGCTGAAAAAGCCGCAGCTATTCCAGCTATTAGAAACGAGAGGGTGAGAGCTGGTCCTGAATGCTCTCTAGCCACCGTTCCAACTAAAATATACACTCCTGCTCCAATTGTTGAGCCAACACCTGAACACAGTTTGTAGAAAGACTTCAGCAGTCAGATATAAGTTCAAAATCAAAATCACATATACAATGAACGGGCACCAAATGCAACTAACACTAAAAACTGAGGATCCATAAGCCGCATCTAAATTTAACAAAAGCAAATCACTTAAAAGGATAAGAAAAAACAAGTCGTTTGAAACAACAAAAGGTTGTGTGTGTGTGAGAAGCAGAGCAGGCTGCATATATCACATCTTAATCTTAAGAATAAGCAAATAAACCAAATTTCAAGTCCATCATTTTACAAAAACACAGATTTTTGCACAAACAGAAAAGTGTTGACCATTTCAAACCCATCAAAACAAACACCAGAAAACACAAAACCCAGGTAGATTTTTCCCCAAAAACCTCAAAACTAAATTGAATTACCAATCGCAATAAGGTGAAGAACACTCAAATCCTTAGCCAATTGATGGTGTCTTCCGGCCTTAGTATGCATAGAATCCACCTGCTTCCTTCTCACCAAACCCCTAAAACAACCACCCCACAAACCATACCCACCTCCACCACCACCACCACCACCATCTATCTGAGAATCACCAAGCACACCCATAGACGATGCAACAAAATCACCTAACTCTCAACAACAACGACAACAAAAAATCAAAAGATGGATACTTTATATAAATAGTCTAACAACAATCCTATACTACTAAACCTGCCCGCATCCCCGGTGAAAAAGATTCGGTATTTGTACGCAGTGGGTGCGAGGGAAGCGGACAGATGGATTTAGCAGGGACAAGGGAGAAAAGAAACGAAACGAAAAATGTCTTCGTTGTTGCTGGAGTTGGAGGAATTTGTAACGGTTGCGTGGAGATGGGAGATGCTAGGCCACGCGCCAAGTGGTGTGTCTCGTAGCGAGTTAGGATTGGAGTTCTCTGGTGGCCATGTCTTAAATTATGAAATCAGAGTGAGGATGATTTTTGTGGGTCCTCTTTGAAATACTTTATAATATAATGATGGGTCCCTTTAAATTACTTCTTTAATTATAGGATATGGAAATTCAACTCCCCATTGCTCATCATGCAGATTCCATATAATTACAAACCACTATTTCTAAATTATTGATACTGAAAATAATATAAAATTGTATAGAATATTAAAATGAGTAAGAAAAGGGAGTAAAAGACGTTAGCAAGTTAGCATTTTTCTAAAATTAATAATTGATGTTATTAAAATTTCGGGAATTGTTTTACTGTATAGCTATGAGGGACATAAAAAGTTACTCATAATAATGTTAAATGGTTAGGGTTTACGGTTTTCTTTTATAAGATTTGAGACTCAAGTCCACTCATAGACACATGTATGAATAAAGATTATATAAGGTTACATGAAAAGTCGAGTTTAACCTCAAGGGTTAGTTTAGGGGTTAAAGAGATTTATTCGTTTCATTAATTTTTTAAATTCAAAACACTTTTGAGTCATCTACCACATTTGTGGTTTACTTAAATTATTGGGTTTGTAAGGTATTTAATAGATTCTGAAAATTAATTAAAATACACTCAATCTGGTCTAGAGTCCCCAATTATAAAAAATAAAAAATAAAACTAAGTTTAGAAGCAAACACCGAGGCATTATTAACTCCTTATAAAAAGTCGAATTTTTTTATCCATAATAGTCATCACACATAACCTGCGACAACCCGAAAACTGATGCAAATTTTAAGAGCAATTTTATGTCATTTTTTATTGACATATTTAGTAAGATCAACCAAAAAAAAAAAAAAAAATGGTGGTAATAGATATCACAAACTTAAATATTTAAAACATAAATCCTTATTACTCTTTTCTAGATTAAAAAATATATATATATTAAAAATTTGATCTCAAAAAGATCTTCTAAAAACTGAGATATTGTGAAAATTCACAATAATTTAATAACATCACAATTATTGCTAAGATAATATTTTATAAATCTAATAAATTAAAAAGAAAAAACAAGACATAGTGATAAGGTATATTGTTCTCCAAAATTCTGCCATGCAGTGGGATAGAATGATTTATACGTTACCTTGATGAAGGTGTTGATACTGAGGAGGATGGAGTGGGCAAGAATCTTTGATAAATTAAAATAATGTTTAAGCTCAATAATTGAGTTGGAAGTTTGTAGATTTGCAGTTGGACCCCTAAATTTTGATTATGAATTGTAGCTTTTTGAGATTGCTTGGGGATTATAAATCTTGTCTTTGCCTTTTAATTATTATCCAAAGTCGGTGGAGATTTTGTTTATTTTAAAAAGCGTAAGTTGCAGTTTCACATGGACATTCTATATAAAGAAACAGTCGCTTGCAGGATCTCCTGTGAGTTTCCCCATAGAATAAATTAATTTGTATACATTCTCTTTTTAGACATAAATTAATCACTAAAATTAATAGGAAACTCTACACCAAAATTCTGTTGATTCCCTTTTTAAAATGACATCAGATAAATCATTTACAGTTTATGGGACTTTTCTTTTAAATAAATTTATGATTATTTTGGAAATTTGAGGAAAAAGGCTGTCTACTTTTCAACCTAAACGGTAAATAAGGCTAAGTAGAGGAAAGAGTGATGAATTTTCCTTTTCCGTTTTTTTATCAATTTGTTTTTATTATTATAGTGAAAGTTAAGTCATTATCAATGTTTTTATACCTAGATCGGGCCTTGACCCGGTCAAGGGGCCGGTCTTAGGTTGAGTAGTCAGACCGAAAAAAAAGGGGGTCAGAGTGGTGATATCAATATGAAACCCTAGTATAAAACTTAATAGACATGCCTCTAAGAAATTACGCATCAGACTTTGGAAGTTTGAAATCCAACAAACACACTGCTGCGATCTGGCTAGGAAACCCTACCCCAACTACAATCCACCCCAGATCAACCCAACATCGGACAAACCACCACCAAGCCACCACAAAAGCCCTAATCCACCACAAAACATCGTCATCCACCATAACAAAATCCACCACAAACCAGGGGAGTCGTTGCGAAGAGGAGATGAAGGTTGAACGGGCAAGTGAAGTGTAATCGGTGGCAGACAAGTGGAGGCCAAGTGAAGTGCGGCCAGCGGCGGACGAGTGTAGGCCAAATGAAGTGTGGTTGGTAATGAACGGGTGGACAACAAAAGTCATGGAGCGAAGCGGCCTAAGTAGGTCGATCGAACAACGGAAGGAGCGAAAAATGAAGATTGAAGAATTGGAATTGGAATAGGGATTTTAATTTCACAAATTTTGATAACCCGGTTTAGCCATCGGTACAGTGACCTGACGGTTAGACACTATTCCACCGGTTCAACTTCTGGTCAATCTGGGCCAATGGCTAAAACCAAGTTTAGAGTACCCTCGAATTCTTGGTCGAACCGGTCAAATCGGGTTTTAAAAACATGGTCATCACATGATTTATTGGATATTTTAGAATGTCGCTAACATATGCTACAATATAATTTAAGGAAATATTAAAATGTGCCTTTATTACATACATTTAAAATCACTAAAATACAATTATTATTTTTCAATTATATAATTAAAGTGATTATGTAAAATCAAACTCTATCATAGGTTAAGATTTTTAAAATTGGGATGACAACTTTGTATGTATAAAGTAATTACGGATAAATTTTAAATAATAGAAATAATCCCTATTATAGGAAAGTCATTAATATTAGTTGGAGTTTTATGATGAACTAGACATGGGGTCTGCGCGTTGCGCTGGTATGTTTATTCAATGTTTTTGAAATATATTGTAAATAATTTTATTCTAACAAAATAAACTAATTAGATTAAGACATAATAAATGTTAAATTATATAAATTTTAAAGTAAATATAAATTTTTTGTATATATATACAAAATTGTGTTAAGATAAAATTAATTATTGTACCTGTATAATTATTAATATCAATTATAGGTAGATGTTATTAAATCATTCATCTAACTTGAGAAAATCACATAAATATTATATGGTCTAATTATATTTTCAGGATCATCACCTTGTACAATTGATATTATTTTTGTAGACATGTTTTTTATATTCGATGTTAGTATTTTATAGTGAATCGTATAGGATATTTAATATCACTTAAATATTATCAAAATCAACTATTTAAACTCAAAATTTATGTTGACCTTCCGCAATTTTTGTAACTTATATTCATTTTCAAGTTGCGTTGCGTAAGTATGTTTATTATATTTTTTTTTTTTTACATTATTATTGGTTTTTTTGTGTTTTAAATATATATTTTCTATATTGAAGTTCATTTAATATTGAATTGATAATTAAAAAATCAATAAATAAAATATCCACAAATTGAACTCAACGTTTATATCATCATGATTCTTCTCAAATATGTTACCATTTGTCATTTGCTACCAAAGTTTAAAACTTTGTCAAAAAAAGCAAAAAAGTTTGTAGGATAACTCATTGGGTATTATTGATAAGTCTATAAATTAATCAAAGAAAGAGAAACCTTATTAAAAACTGTGAACTTTTAAGCAAGAGACTTACAGAGCCAAAGGAAAAAATTGATTTTGATTGTTGAGAAGAAAAAATGAATTATTATTATTTTAGAAATTTAAAAAATTAAGAATATAAAGAAAAGAACTCACATAGAAAGCAACAACAACTCCAACAGTATAATTTGAAGGCAACTTAATTGAAGCATTGAAGAAGCCATGAAGATAAAAGTCATGTGACACAAATTCATTTGCTGCAATTAGAATTGACCACCACCTATAGCAAAAAAAACATTTGATGATAGCATCCTAAAGAAAGACGATAATTGTAAAACCCACAAATCAAACAACAAAATCAATCCAAAAATCAACAAAAAGATATATAACAAATACAATTAAAACTATATATCAATATTTGTTTTCCTTTGTCATCACTAAATTTGAATTTATTTTATGTGTGTGTGATAAAATGAATGGTTCGGAAGTAGGTCTATAGTTATCCTAATTCATCATATAATATATCAAATTAAAGCCCTATCTTTCTAATTTTCAAAAATTCAAACCGCTCATCAATTGGATTTTTATTGAACAAGTTATGACTAATTTACTACTGACAGTTCAGTGAAAATCGAGAAACAGAGGAAACTGAAATGTGTGTGATGATAAAAAGAATGGTTCCACAGTGGGGCTATAGTTATACAAATTAAGTGTATAATATATCAAATTAAATCTTTGTCTGTCCAGTTTCTAAAGGTTCAAACCTCTCATCAATTGAATTTTTATTGAGCAAGTTATGATCAATTTACTATTGATTGTTCAGTGGAAACTGAAATGTGTGTGATGATAAAAAGAATGATTCAAAAGTGGAGCTAAAGTTATCCAAATTAAGCTTATAATATATCAAATTAAATTCATATCTGTCTAATTTAAATATTGAAACCTCTCATCAATTGGATTTTTATTGAGAAAGTTGTGGTCAATTTACTACTGACTATTCTGTGGAAACCAAAATGTGTATAATGATAAAAAAGATTGTTTGACAGTGGGGTTATAGTTATCCAAATTAAGCGTATAATGTAACAAATTAAAGCCCTATCTGTCTAGTTTCTAAAAATTCAAACCTCTCATTAATTGGAGTTTTATTGAGTAGGTTATGATTAATTTACTATTAATTATTCAGTGGAAACCTAAATGTGTATAATGATAAAATGAATAGTTTACTAAAACCACATGGTTTAACATCAAACATCAGTTGATATTTGTTAAATAAATAAAAATGGTTATGTTCAGCAACAAACTCTTTTCATGCTATATGTATGTAACATAAAAGATATCATCAAAAAGAGATAGAACAATTATAATTAAAACTACATATCAATATTTGTTTTCCTTTAAGGATAATAATAATAATAATTGTTCGACATATTATAAATGATTTACTAAAGCTGC